GAAGCACCAATACCATACACAACATCGACAAAAGTGCATTATGATACGGTAACACTATACATAGCATTGACACAAATGTATTAGGAAGAAATAAAACCAAAACATATGACTGACACTTAGTATTATCAAGGATTTCACCATACATAACAATGACACAAATTATTATGCAGCTGTTATGAAGCCAAAAACACCATGAACATCATCGACAACAAATGTATTTTAAACCAGTAACACAGCAATGACACCACGTATAATGAGAACATAACACGATACACAGCATTGACACAAATGTATTATCATTCAGTAACACCAGACATAGCATTGACACAAATGTATTAGGAAGCAGTAATACCATGCATAGCACTGACACTAGCAATGGAACTATCAATGAATAATACCATACATAGTATTTATAGAAAGGTACTATGAAGACATATCACCATGTATAGCACTCGCACAAATGTAACGTGAAGCAATAACACCATGCATGACATTGATAGAAGTAAATGAAGTTATTACCTCTTATAATTCTTCATTTAGCGTCAGTCTATGTATCTAAATATGTATGTTGTAATGAAATGATGACTAATAATGTGTCAATGGCAGTGTGTCAAGGACAATTGTCACAACAGAAAACCGCTAAACCAGCAATGCTGTTCATTGGTATCCAATAGTGGTATAAATGTATGATTTAATTAAACTAAATTATCCCCCAGCTGCTGATATATAGATTAAAATTTTATTGGTTGTGTTTGTAATACTAAATATACTTTATAACAATATTGATCTAGTTACATGTTATAAGGTATTAAATCAATGTGATGAAACAGTTGACCATACTGATATTGCTGATTTATGTCTTGAAGTGAACAAAATATTGTTGTTATTTCCCAAGACAACGATTTAGACATACACCTATGTCAGTGTTTAAGTTAAACAAAGAACTTGTATCCCTTTATTCTAAATAATATAAAACCATTCATTTACAGGAGGCGGGTCGTCTCCGATCCCTGTTGCATGTAGTCCATTGACAGATGATATTGTGGATGTCATTGGTAGAGAGAATGTTACTCTGATAGAAATGGACTCCTATGACTCCCTTACCCCTCAACTCCCTGATGTCATATTAAAGAGAGAAAGGCACATGGGATATGCATTATATTTAATGTTAATTTGTTTGAAATATCACTAGAATTGCTGGAATGCTTTTTTCAAATAATCACCTCTTGTTTTTTTTATCAAATACTGGCTCCGCACATGAGATATTGCTTGTGCGAGGTCTAACAATACCTCAAAATCTGCTGATCACCCATGGTTAAATTGACCTTAGTGTTAGCTCGAGGCTTTGACGGTAATGTTTTCAGTAGTGTAAATATATTTAAGTCACTAAGACCTCCACATTTGTCATTGAAATAATACAGCACGAGTCATTTAGTATTTAGTGTTTGCCAGCGCAAATTACATATTGTCCACGCTATTATTATAAATCCAAATTCGGAACTTAAATACTCACAGGCACAGGCAGTTATAACTAGATAGATAGTGAAACAAAGATAATGTATCCCGAAAAACACACACAAAACTAACAATTGATTCTACCAGATTCCTTAAAAGTTAAAAAATGTTGATGACATATCATGGTATATATTTGCGAAAAGACTTTATGATTTTAATATTTTATCTTGGCTGATCTCGATGTATCGGATATTTCAAATAATAACAATAACCATATATTATGACACTATTCATTTCTATTCATGGATTGATGTGGCCTTACTTTAATTTTGCAGCAATTATCTCATAAAGTCACAAGATCTCATTTTATGGATTTAGAGGGAATGATTTACATACTAATTTGCCAATTTACTCGCTTGGATGAGTGAGTGAGTGAGTGAGTTGGGTTTAACGCCGCTTTTAACATTATTTCATTTATTTCGCAGCGTGTCAGCTTAATGTGGGAGGAAAGCCCGAAATGATGCAGGTCTCAGACGTTTACCTCTTCGGTGAAACCCACGAGCACGGGTATGGTGCTGACAAACCTAGAAACATAATTGGGGCGAACCGGCCTTCGAACCCACAATCATAGGATTCTGGCGTGCCCAGGGGACGCAACTCTAGTCGACTGGGCCACCCAGTCATGGTTTCAAGCCTGTTGCTCTAGCAATGTTTCCAATGCCATGTTATATACCCATTAAATTTGCGATTAGGCTTTTTCAAAATATTCGCTTTTTCTATGCTGACATTTTGAGTATTTGTTCTTGGTAAAGTTATCATTCCAATATCCTTTTTGGAAGACATTTGAATTTGATAAACAGTGGAATATATGGTTTGAATTTCAGAAAATGTTTATATGTATAGTTTGGTCTTAGGTATATTTGCCTAACAATTCTATAAAGCAGGATATAACATAGGTCAAAAGATGATGGATATTGAACATCGATACATATAAATAATACCAATTTGAAATATGCATTGACTCTGTTGACATGCACACATTCAGCTTGAAAACATGTTCAATAGAATTATTCATCCTGTTTTTGTTGAACTGATTTAAAAACCTAAAAATAAACATTTTTACATTTATGAAATGTTGATGTCTTTGTTGAATAAAATTTAATTTTCACTGTATTCCTTGTTTTCTTATGTGATCAGACAAGTGCAAGAAAAAATTGACACATTAGATAATCATTAACTATTAATAGGAAGTATAAGATATCTGTGAATGAAGAAAATGGATGAAGAAAGAATGCCGTCTGCTTGTTTTATGATTGTGTGTCGTTATCTTTCACGAGGAAACTTTCGAGATTTATTATGCTTGATATGTTTCAACCTTTAAATTAATAACAAAACATTTAGGATACATTTTAGTTCAACGTAGTTCAAACGATTTCTTTTCAGAAAATAAGTGTTCCATTCGGTTTAATTTTGAAGGTAAGATTAGGTGAAGCCGGGGATCGAACCCCCAGACCTTCCGTTCTCCGGGCAGACGCTCTACCACAGGACCACGGAGGCGGTCTTTTAATTTTGGAAATAGCATTTCACTTGAAATGGAGAACTGTATTGCTTAGCGCTCGTGGTTAAAGGAACGAAGTAATAATTATAATTAAAACCCCACTTCCGGTCTCGTTGCCATGGTTTCTTTTGATAAAACTGTAGGTTCATTTCCCAATACATTCCCAATACGATATCACTCCACTTTTTTTTCCAAAAGTGTAGTGATATCAACGATATCACTCCACTTTTGACCATACCCATTTCGTGTAAAAAAAACAATAGAAAAGGTCATCAAGGTTTTAATTAGCAATGTCCCAAAATTAGAACATAATTTCTAAACTGTCACCGTTCCGTTTCGTACATTTATTGGTAACAGGCTTTGCATCCGACTTGTCAGGCAAAGTGCATGTTGCAACTGTAGACTTGGGAGACTATGTCTTCGGTTCAATCTTTGATTCCTTGGGCTTTGGCGGCTGGAGGAGATCCGATATTTCTTTCTGCTGTGTTGCGCTCGTGCGCTTGACGCTCTCACAGCTAGACTTCTGTGGCCCGTCCTTTCTTGAACCAGCTGTTCGTCCACTTTGTTGTGGAACAGGCGAGTTGCTGTTGTTACCTGAAACACTAAGATTGATTGTGAAAAATGGACATATACGCATTTATGGCGCTATATAATACGATCATGCAAATACATTTTTAGTCCTTGTCATGCTGAAAGCTGATTTACTCTTATTAAATTCAGAGTAAAATGTATTCAACGGAGGAGTGGAGGAGGAGTTGGAGTTTTACGTCGCACTAAAGATTATTTCAGCAGTACAACGGTTAAATGAGATGTCAATGTAATAATATTTACCTTGCCAGAATGACCAGTGTGATGTCCTGTTATACCAGCTTTGTCGCATATTTTCTTAAACAGCTTCTCAAACGTGTGCACGCCAACCTTCTGGTGAGAATACCTTACGTTTTCTCACGTACCGACAAAGGTCGTCGATAGAACGGTCCTCCTAGGGGGATGGATTCCATGTATTCTCGTAGCACTTTTACATAGCATCTTGGGTTTGACTCTTGGATGTATTGGCGAACACGTCTGAAAATACATAGTAAGCGTTATTTAGCGTTATCAAATGAACTGATAGGTCAAAAAAAATTAAATGAGGTAACTGTCAGCACAATACTACGAATAAGGTACCATATAGAAATATTAATACCTTCATAAAGAAAACACATACAAGTGGAATTGAAACAATATGCAATAAACATGAGTAATATCATAAAGAGAAATGTTAGATTTGCCACATTTATTTAATCTTAATTATGAAGTTTTCCTTGGCCCCAAGATGTTATTATAATGGGAATTGGTAAGGAAATATAGGGTATATTATTGTTTATTTGTTTCGACTGTGATCCTGGTACGTTTGTGATGGCATGTTTGTTTTACACACCATGGTGCTAGCAATGTTGTTTACATGCATAGGATACCGTTTTTGGATCTTTTGAGAATTTGTATCAGCCTGCAGAGTAATGTTAAGTGCCACAACGTAAAGATCTTGTACAACTTACTTATCGTAATCATAAAGATCTTAGATTGGACATTTATGTGTGGATTCACTATCAAATCTTTTACACTTAGGACGTAGAGAGATGGATGTTTGTTGCATGTTGTAGGGTATTCAGTACCATATTGTACAGCTGTTGAAATAATAAGCTTTACTAGAGTTGACAGTTCTGTAGAGAAAGACCTTCAATGTGTCATCAAAATGTAATGATATAGTATTATTGCAGAGAATACCAATAGATGGTAAGTGTTGTCTATAGCAGGATGTGCAATAGAAGAAATATAATACACAAATTTATTACACAAGCTCGACATCTGCTCTGCTAGTGTTGAGTTTCATATCACCTTGGAGAGGTGGGTGTTTTGTGGTCTGTCAGATAAATTGTTTTAATTACATGCCAGCTGTGATAGTATACTCTCCGAGTTAAGAGTATAAAAGGAATGCGTTCATCAAGCTTAACCATTGAGAACAGGGGCAACCCAAAGAAACGGTAGGACACAAGTGAAGGTAAGTATGAATGTTTTGCTCTGTTGTACTACTTATGACATACTGTATTTCTTCTCTCAATTCTGGATATAACATTACAATACTGTATAACACATGAGAAGTAAGTATTGTGTGAATTTTAGAATATCGAGATAGGTCAGCTCTACATGATAAGTTATATTTTAACACTTCTTCCTCGTGGGAAGTTATTTCATTTAACACAATCTTTCTCCACTTAGTCTTCGCGGGGAATTCCCCTGTGCGAACGTAGTGAAATACATGATGAAGTAGCTTATATTTCTTGGCTGTTGAAAGCAACACTCCACATAAACTGTGTAAATTATTTTTTATGAAAGAAATAGTTTGGAGTTGATGCGCAGAAAACAGTTTTACAAATTGAGACATATGAGTTGTTGCAGTGACGCCCCAGCAGCTGTAGTCTACATTTATCTATATAGCCAACCATGCTCCAAAGTCCTAGATTAGCAATAGTGGCATCAGTGGGGGAACGTTTGTCAAGACCTTGTACAATCCTTGCAAAGTAACGCCGGGTGCTTTCGGCTAATTCAAGATCTTTACCATGCAGAGGAGGTAGTAATTCACATCCATAAAAACTTGTTGTTAAGGTCATTCTTTTCCATATCTCAATACTTGCATACTGATGTAAGTCACTACTATGTAGACCAACAGAGAGGAGAGAATTAATAGTACGCCTTGCTTTTGTGCAGCTGTTTTCAATATATAATTTGAAAGAAAGATTGCTTTGTAGGACAGCACCCGCATATTTTACATATAATAAGTGATAAGCATGCGTACACAATAATTGCTTCTTTTTATGAAACACAATTTTACTTTTCGATGCATTATAAGTTAATCGCCATTTGGATGCGTAATTAACAACTGTATCTAAGGTTGTTTGCAGACCTTTAGGGCTGTAACTGTTAAGAGTAGTATCATCAGCAAGTAACACGCATGGTAAACTAACATTATACATATTCCTGTATCTAACTGCCGATGCTCAGTTATGAGGTCATTTTTGTACACAAGAAAAAGCCAAGCTGAGATAACTCTACCCTGACCTATACCTTGTCTAACAGCAATTGCATCAGATTGTACGCCCTTTTACTGAACACACGCATACATGGAAGTATAACAGTGGTGTAACAGAGACCACATTTTACCTCTAATACCAAGATGATAGAGTTTTATCAAAAGCTTTCTCGTTATCCAAAAATGCTGTGTAGATACATGATCCCATGTTAACATAACTTTGTACACATTCGATTAGGGTAAATAGCGCAATAACAGCACCGTGCTCCTTCCTAAAGCCAAACTGCAACATGTCGGGAAAATTACAGGCATTTCGGGATGTCCACGTTTCTAATCTTTCAAGGAGAATTTTCTCAAAAAGCTTACCAAGACAAGATGTTAGCGTAATACCTCTATAATTTACAGGGTTTGATTTATCTTTTTTACCCTTCTAAATAGGTATAATGACCCCGTGTCTATAGGCTGCAGGTGTGTACTGAAGTGTAAGTATAGCATTAAATAATAGTGCTAACTTCCCTATTAGCAGCTCACCACCAAACATCACATGTTCATTATTAATATTGTCAGGGCCAGGTTATTTGTTCCTCTTCAGTGTCTGTACATATCTAGTCACTTCCTGAACCAATATTTCAACACATGATACACTATCAACACATGAGTTAGATTCATTACTGGAGGCTAATTTCTCAATATCATAGTCAATACCATCTTTAAAGTCTTGATCGCACTGATCAAGTCATATGGTTTTGCCATAGGTGTTTACCTACCCCAAAGCTGACATATGACAGTGGGGGTTGTTACATTACGGTCATCATATGTAAGTTACTGCTTACGTAGTTTTCATACAGATTTATAAAACGTATTCACATCAGTTTCACAAGGTTTTTTTCTAATTCCAAACAAAATTTCTTCGAATAGGCCTGCTTTGACTGTCTGTGACGACGTCGGAATTCTCGCTTAGACTGCTTGTATGAGGTATAAGAAAGGAAATTATCCGCCTTGCAAGTCGCATGTTATAATGGTCTTGGTGTACATGTAGCCCATCCTGTTTCCAGTAAGGCTTCAGATGAGCCTTGAAACTACCTACTGGTATAGACTGTCTACTGGCATCAATCATACATTTACTGATCCCCGTATTAAATGATTCAATATCATCACGTGTATCTACTGATAAACAAGACTCTGCATTGTTTAGCAGTGTATCAAGACAGACCTTGTACGAAGAGATCTCAATATTGGAAGCTTTGTCCCGTTTAACAAAACATGCTTCTTTAACCTTTTGCTTTACATTATCATTTACATCTACTTGTATGGTAGCTACACATGGGAAGTGATCGGATACATCATAACTTGTGAATAACACTTTACTTGAGCTAACGTTACTCTGCAAATGGGAAGGAATCAGGATATAATCAATCAGAGACTTGTTTATGTTATCTTTGCTCCTGAAAGTATATGAGCTAATGGCTTGAATAGTATTCACTAAATAACGAGTGCTAACAAAGTAAGACAGAAGTTTGTCGGGTGGTAACATTATATGCTTACATATATCCGAGTTGAGATCACCTAGGATAATTGTGTCACCATGCACACACAACTCATCATATAAGTCAGATAGTTCGTCTAGAGCCGTGCTATACGTAGAGTGAAGGGCATTATTGGACAGAAGGTGACATGCAATCACATACATGTCAGCGGCACGTGGGTGGGTTAACTTAACAGCAATACTACTGTCAGAAGACGAATGTAAACATTGCGTCTTCCATTTAGAATGAGTGTTCTGTAGAAGAGCTATACCACCGGACCCTCTCGTGGAGGTACTCGCATCTTCAGATTTGTAGGATAGAAATTTACAACATTTAAGATCTTTGAATCTTTTAATATTGCATGTTTTTTAGCCAGTGTTCTTGTACAGCAATGATATCGACTAAGTCCAGTAAAAAAGAGTTGATATGTTCGGTCTGATGAGACACACCACGCACATTCAAGGTCAACACGCTTAGTGCCATCACAAAAGACATCATAGTCAATATGAACATAGCCGTTTTGTTAGTAGATGCTCCTTCTGTATTCTTGCTGTAGTTGTTTTTGTTGTTTCGGATCAGTTTGACGCTGCCTTGGCGCATAGTCTCGACACACAATGTCCTCAGGCCAGAAGTAATCTTGACGTACAGAAAGTTCATGTATTCTTTTTGTCTTAGAGTCAATCACCGAATTTTTACATGCAATGTCATTGTTCAATTTATTCTCTACGGCGTTAATTTGATTTCGTAGAGACTCATTCCCGTCCATTACGCACTGTTTCAACTGTTCAAGGTGACTCATTACATATGCAACAGTATCTAACTCACCTTGCGGAGGTGTTATGTTCGGTTCTTCTTGTGTGGAATCCTCCTCAAGTGGTATGGAAGATAGGGAGGGATACGAGGGTTCCTAATGCTAGCCTTGCTGAGCACTTTCCACTGTAACACATGATCCGGAATACCACCTTCAATGAAGTGGAAGATATAATAGATATCCTGTGCGTATTTTTCCAGAACTCTCTGAGCTTCATCAAGCTTACCTATTGAGAACAGGGGCAACCCAAAGAAACGGTAGGACAGAGGTGAAGGTAAGTATGAATGTTTTGCTCTGTTGAACAGTGTTTTGTTCAACTATGCCTTCAATGTACTTTCGTAATTCAGTCTTCGGTAAGATATAGAATACATAACTGTAATATACTCAGCAACCAAAGTTCCTGTTACACCCCTTGCCAATCGGTAGCATACAAGAGAAAACATTCTGGTGTTCAAGTCGATGATGTAAACCAGGGTGTTGTAGGGATTGGTTAGGGATTGGGTTCGATTGTTTCTGCTTGTCCGACCAACAATCACCGCCGATTGCGTCTGCAGTGGTATAGACAGCGAGAGCGTTGGACGGCAATTCAGTGGAGACAGGTTCTGTTCACCGACGAGTTTCGTTTTCACCTCTCCGATGGCGATCGCTGAATACGAGTATACCGCCGTCGCGGTGAACGTTACGCTCAGAACTTTCGTATAGGAGAAACCATTTTTACGAGGGATTACCAGCGATTGTAAACCCTGACATTCGGTGACAAACCTCGGGGGCCGGGGGAAATCGTTTGTTCAACTTATTAATCGACTCATCGCATAGACAACGTTTATAATTAAATAACAGTAGTATAGGTAATAGGGGTTCTGGCTCACTTCCACTGGAGCCAGATTTATTACCTATACTGCATTTTTTATGCCAAAATGATTAAGCGATTTAACGATAGTCATGAGATTGGCTCTAGCTTACCAATACCTGAGGCCAATCAATGCTTCTATTAGTATAAAAATGATTATGCGATTCAACGAAAGTCGTTTTAAAAGAAATATCAATATTAATTAATAATGGATAAAATTTACTATAGCCCATGAGGATATTGGAAAGGTGTAGGAGCAATAAAAAAATTAGCCACCGCGGCTAAGGTATCTAAAGATGTGGCCAAGGATTGGTTAAAGAAACAAGCAATGTGGCAGATATATTTACCGGCACCGAGGAAGAAGTTTGATATTTTTACAATGAATGAAGTTCATCAGGCTGACCTCTTGTTTCTTCCCCACGATAAGGTAAAACGCAAAACGTATAAATACGCTTTAACCGTAGTGGATGTGGCTAGTCGATACAAAGAGGCTGAGCCATTAACATCGAAAGAATCAACAGAGGTAGCTAATGCACTGAGTCGCATATATAAACGCGGACCGCTAAAATGGCCTAAGCTATTTCAAGTAGATCCCGGTCGCGAGTTTATGGGATCGGTAACTAAACTGTTAACAAAGCACGATGTCGAAATCGTCCGTGGTGAAAGAGAGGCCCACTGCAGTCAAGCTATCGTCGAAAGATTTAACAGGACATTAGCGGAACGTTTGTTTGGCTATCAGTATGGGATCGAAATGAAATCCGAGCGATTGAGATCAACCGAATGGGTGACACGATTATCAGCCGTTGTATCAGCGCTGAATAATGAAGTAACGAGATTAATAGGGAAGAAACCATCCGATGCTATTAAAATGAAATCCGTGACTTCCGAATCTTCAGCACCGAGGAGAGGCAAAGAGCGAAAACTTCCGGATAGAGTAAGGGTAAGATATTTATACCAGGCCGGTGAACTCGAAGGAGGCCTACATCGCGCAACCGATCCCATATGGTCCCTTAAGACGTATAACATTAGTAGATTGGTTTCGAAAGAAGGCGAGCCTATTCTTTATTATCTTCAAGATGGACAAGGAAGGGCATTTGTACGAGAAGAGTTGTTCATAGTTCCCGACGGTACGGTATTACCACCATAACCATAAGCATAGGTAGTTACACCATCATTATCAATCCATCTCTTTGTATCTAAGGGGGATAATGATGTCTTGTTCATTCTTAATCCATATATCCTATGATTGTAACTTCTTAAAGAGTTCATCTTGTGTTTGAACGTTCTACCGTTGAATAATGATTCTTTATACTGTTCGTGTTTGATATGCTTTTTTACAACATACTTCTTAACACCCTTAGCTTTTCTTATCTCACCATTATCGGACTTCTTTATAGAATACATCTTAGGTCTTAATCCTACATACTCCACTATAGGGGTCCCAGCACATTCATCCTTCGTCTTACCTAACACCTTTTTATTTACTACGCTGTGCAGTGGATTATCTTTAGGGTAATCGCTCGTGTCGTACATATCTATTTTTTCTGCCATATCTTTATACACATCCTCGGTTTGTATTTCCATCAACAAAGAATCTGTGTCAGTATATAACACCTCGCATCTATCGCCGTATTGCTTCTTAAGTTCGTTGTAATAAAAGTCATACATTAAGTGTTTTGACAAGTCGAGAATACTCATACCGACGTACACCGGTCTGTTGAATTTTATATTACTCTTCTGCATATGCAACGCGGCTAAGTCGTTATCGAATATCTTGCTTCTGTTAAAAGCCGGACTGGTTATAAGTTTCCTGAGTCTTTCTACCTCATTAGATCTGACTAATTTAACATCAACACGCTTCCTTAGATTCTCCATAGTTTTACCAAATACTGAGTTATTCATTAGCTTATACAGATTCTTTTCGAAATCGCTGGTAGCTATCTTTCTTAAATCTGTGTTCAACCTTATATAGGGCTCCATCCAAGGGCTTTGATCGAACTTTAGAACTCTGTGTATTTTCTTAAGTTTCATACCTAACGATAGATACAACTGGAGATTTCTGTAGTGAACTATATATTTTGTCTTATCCATCAAATTTGGTACGAGTTTTTCTACGTTAGCTAACCTACTATTACCCATCAAGGAGCGTTGATATTCCGACATCCAATCTTTATTAACCATTAATCTTTCGGGAGCTAGTGGATAACTGTTATGGTCTTTATGTAACGAACTTGGATATTCCAAGTCAACTTCTAGTATGTACCCTTTATTCACATCATTCACATTGATATCATTCACTTCGATATCATCGACCCATTCAAAACCACCCGTGGGTAAAGGTTGACTCAAAGCCCATCCGTACAAATTGTTAGCGTCCAGATATAATATATGCGTGTCGGGTTTACTCGGATCGTATCCTTCCACTAATTTATTATTAGCCTTAGAATACCTTTTAGCTGCCATCGTCATACCACCTCTTAATCCTTTCTCAATAAACAAGTGCATATCGTAATCTGTGAGTAATTTTGGTTCTACACCGGTCTTCTTCAACAATGCATCCCACGATAGTCCGGGACTGGAATAGTACCATGCAGGGTCCAAGCCGTATTGTTTTAAACATGTCTTTCTAAATATCTCGAATATATCGGCGAGTAACAGTACATCGGTTTTTAAGTACAGATCGTGATAATCGCCTAAATTCTTACAACCTAATTTATCCCAGACCGTCAGAGCGTGTTCATAATCGGCATCTGTTATTCTAGATTCTGTTAAGTTACTATAGAATGATTCGAGGGGTGGTAATTCAGTTTCTTCGAATCTAGACCAATCATCCATATATTCGTAAGGATATACACGTTTTCTCAGCAACAAATGACGAGTTATCTTATCGGTATATTGATTTGTTATCGCGAAGTCATCGGGATTGTTCGCATTAGCTAAATTGTCCAGGGAAGATAACAGAAACTGTATGGAGTCTATGAATCTAAGCCCATTACTTTGCTTTATTCTAGATTTCCCATCCTTGTCCCTATAATGTATAGGTTTAGTCAACGAGAACGATATGTATTTTTCCATATTATTAGGAATGCACGTTAAACCGCCGTCGGTCTTTGAGATAGCTTGCATAATGAGATGTGAATCGTATCCCCTAAGGTTGTGAAACACAACGGGGATGGGTATTGTTTGAGAGTTCATTTTTAGTTTCAAGTTACACTCGTTATGAGCGGCCCCCCGATAATTACCCGTGACGTGACAATGATCTCTTACGGAATCCCCATCCAGGGGTTTGTTACAAACGTGACAAATCGTTGACTTCTTATGGGCCCTCCAATCATCCCTCGTCATACGCATGGGTATCTTACACGATAATTTTTCCCTGATTATTCTCTCTTCATTTTGTAGATATTCTAGGAACTTTCCCGCTGCATCGGACCTCTGTAAATCACGGGCGGGTTTGTTTTCCCATCATACCTTACAACTATATATCCAAACCCACAAGGAATATGTTCTTGAGTTTTGTACGTAAAACTACTATCTTGATAATTATGGTTGGTATTTTCTATGGGTTTGATAAGCGCTTCGAAGTCGGCGTAAATTACGTACGGTACTGGCATTTGATTACAATAATGTTCAAATTTTAATATATTTTTTCGCTCTTTAGGCATATCGATCCAGATAGCATTCTGTCCAACACCTCTACAGTCTTCTTTATGCGCTTCTAATAGATCTTGTCTGCTGTACCCATGTAGGCATCTTTCGCAGAAATATTTCTTTCCCTTATATTTAGTTTGATCGTATAATAGCCTGTTTAAACTCTTTATCCACGTATAATGATATTTACCATCTTTTTCGATCAGAAATGAATTGATTCTGGGGATATTTTCCGGAGTAGAGCTTATCCTATGTACAACAATTCCTTTAGAATGTCTGAAAACATTTATAGCTAAATTATTTTGCTTTTCCACCTTATCAATTTGTGATATTGGTGTAGGTTCGTCTATACCATCGAAGTTGAGTCCATCGTTTTGGGGATAGCTAGAAGGTCTATCCGGATTTTTGTCTACGGGGAACAATGCAGATCTTATCATCATTCTTAAACAGTCATCGCATTTATTTTTTACGTTAATTATGGCTTTTTTCTTCTTATAATACGGGGGTAAATCTATATAAGATCCACCTTTGAAAGGCATATAATTTGCTATATCTAAATAGAAACTATCGATTTTATCCACACCCCAACCAAAACCTCTATTAGTCCAGCGTTCTAAAGTTTCCTGTATCCTCTGAATTGATGTATCTAATGATGAGTTTATAGTATCGGATTCGGTTATAACTTCTTGATTGCTACGGAAATATGGTTCGGTATATTCGGTGCTATCGTCTGTGTTACTTTTACTCATATCATTTTAATCGTCAGCTGGTAT